CCTACTGCATACCGGAAGTCGACTCGTCTGCCGTTACCTTTGTACGCGTACTGCGTAGGCGTGTAGTGTGGTTACGTGTTCTCATACTCTTTATATCGTAACATTGTGTTCTACGTGAGTGCGAACGAATTATATTCTGACCATGCTGTTCCGCCGTGTTGCAGTACGTCCAGTGTGAGGAACTGAGGAAACACAAACTGTTTTGTTTTTCTCCGCACTCGCCGGATTCACGTAGGGCACCGGCGTAATCCAGTATTGTTTTCTGTTGTGATGTTGTGTCGTTATTAGTGTTATTTATATTTTATACTACATTACTATACGATACCTATCACCCCGTCATGGGTTATATTTTTGATGGTTGAGTAACGATTTATTGTCGTGCGCACGTCAAGTAGATAGAAAAATGGACACCGATTACCCCCATTATAGTGGGTTATATATATATATATATATATATATGTATGTATAAAACCATATTTGATTGTTGTTGACCACTGGCTTGTTATAGTACATAATATATATTTACAGTAAAATTATAACATTTTGTAGTTTATCAAAGTTTATACGATATCATACTTGAAAGTTCCGACAAAGTAAGATACTATTCATCATCTATAACATAWATATATATATCCARTTTGGACTTAAGTTACATATTTTATCGATCTCCTAGTTAGATAGAAATAATAGCACAACAGAATAAACAATTGGTGGGAGGGGTTAAGGACTCAAACTTGTATTCGTACGATAAACATAATTTTTGTGATACATTTATTCATCAAACAGATATTTTAGATTTTAAGCGCAGCGAGGAATGTATTGATTTTACCATGATGTGTACTTTTTTATTTTTGGGTCTGTCATTACGTTTTGAGGCATTAAGAATGCTTCGATTTTACGACTTCAGTACCTTTTTAGATTAGAAATTGAATCTAGTTGGTACTTTAGGGGGAAGGGGTGAAAAGTAAAATATTCTCAATATTTTTCTAAATAATTGGAATAAACAAACTAAAAATTAAGGAAAAACGGGAATTATTTATTACAACTGTACCGACGATTCTAATATTATAGCCGTTGACGCCTGCAAATCAAGACAGTCGAGCCGACAACCAGTGGAAAAASACCAACGCTGCACCTGGACCGATCATAATGCCCAGCAACAACAATTGAAATTGGCACCCACTTAGTTTCTAATATAGTATTATTTTATTAATTTTTGTGCAATATTTAAACTAAGTACTGTACAGGTTATACACCAAAAAGGTTCAGGTTAAATTATTTTGTTAATGTATTTATAGTATTCGTTACCCAGATATAAAATAATAATTCAAGTACGTCGTATAATAACTATTATTACCTAATTATAAAAAAAGAACACGACATGTGCGTCAACAGCTACACCAAACAGTAATTTGTTATCACAATAAACGCGTKGCTCGAAGATTACCGATAAAATTTTTATAATTTTTAAGCGCGAGGTTAGAAATGGCCGCGTCAGTAAATGTTTAATAAAATAATAAAATTKATATAAAACCCGTTAAGAAACAATGAACAAGACATTTCAATAGTATACACAATAAACAACTCTGATTACRCGTCGGMAAAGTTGGTACAGATGTTGATGTACAACCAGTTGTGGGCCGCTGGTCATATCCCACAACTGAAAAATATTATGGCCGACCGTTCYGGCACACAAACGTATCAAAATAGATGCCGTTATGACGTGTCTTCGAGAGTGACAAGAGTGATCTGTCGAGAGGTTAGTCCTTGTTTTATGTGACGACAGCAGCGGTGGTGACAATGACAAAAAAAATAAAAATAACAAAACGCAGATCGAAGAAGTGGTACCGTGGAACTGATACTCGTGTCGCTGATACTCTCTGTAATATGGTTTGTGCTCTGCATACTGTCGGTGGGCAGTGAAGAAAGCGAATTATTGTCTTACCACCAAAAAACCGAACTACGTAACCTGTCGCGTATCTGCACATGGCGTTATTTTGTTTGGGCGACTTCGACTAAGGGCGCGAGCCTGCGGCCAATGGGCCTCGGAAAAAAAAGTAAGAACCGCGCAACCTGTTCTCAAACCGTATGGCGTTTTGCGCAGTCCGAGTGTTGCTCCCGTTCGATCAGATCATCGAACGTATTGCTCATTTTTACACATCACCTCCCGGAATTGTGCCTTCTAATATTCGCGCCGTTCGATGTGTCTATATGACAGTTGCGGTGCATACCTCACAACGAAGACAATGCTTACACKTTTTGTGTCAGCATAATCTTAACTTTGATTTTWGAAAATTCAAACACATTAAGTATATATGTTTAATATGCAGMATCAAGGATTTATWTATAAGTTACAGCTGTAATACCAGTCGTCCAGGTGATACTCGTGGTTAAATAAAATCGACACAGGCAATTCATCTAAATGGATCCATGCCGGATAAGTTTTTGAATAAAAAATGTAAATCACTAATTTTTAATTTTATATTATTTAATTTACTTAATTAAACAAYAATCAAATATGTCAGTATTGGTAACATTATGAAACTAACGATTACAATATTATAATATTAATATTGAATAATTGTCGATTACCTATGRTTAAAATTTTACTGTCTACATATTAATGTTTCAGTGTGATAAATATAGATTGCATGTTTTTAGTTGCTTTTATATGAATTTATTAAATAGTTGAAAATATGATGAAAAAAGTTAGTATTTTCTGAAATAATGAGAGTGTGTTAAATGCATCACTCTGTATTGCGTGCGTGCAAAGTATTAAATATTCATATTAAATTTATTGATTAAATCATATTTTTTGCAAATACTCCCAGCCAATACTCACGGGGACTGGGTATTCCATGTATAATAATATATTAAAGTATTAAACTGTATCAAGTCTTCAACACCCAAAGGGTAACATGTACACTGTACAGTGTTCCCATATATATTATAATTATGCAGATTGAAAAATTTGGTTAATTYTACGAATTATAGTTTAAAAAAAAACTTAGATGGTGGGTAGATTCTTAGGTAGTACAAGCTTGGCATGATATTCTATAAAACGTACAAAAAAAATTTTTTTTAAAGGTGGTAATAAAAGCTTAAAAAGTATAATCATAGTTAATTCACCGTATATAGTATTTACTATTTTAACATACGAGTAAAATCAATTTATTTTAGAGTCGTTTACTTCTATGAGTGTAATTATTTGTTAAGAACATAGATCAAACCTGCAACAATGCTATGTAGTTTTTCACAGGAAAACAGCAGCTAGTTTATTCGACGGCTCTTTTAAAAATAATTATCATTGTTGCATATTAAATTATACTATGTAGATAGTATGTATAAAGCGTACTAATTAGAATACATTGGAACGTGTTGTTTTATAACTTAAAAATATACAAAGAAGTCTAATATAAAAATTACATTTATTATAATATTATACCACTGGTAGTTGTAACAACTGTTTGTGAATCATGGTAGATCAAAAAAAATACATCGCATCACTCTGCTCAATTAAAAATAAGTACGTGGACTTTTTTTTTGTAATTGAGTGTCATTACAATTGTCCACWCTGTAAATAAAATGGCCACTGTATTTGTTTACGTGTTTTTCTATTTAAAATAACCATTGATACAAGGACAATTCCGAGATAATCGTTGCTCCCGCCAGCTGTTAAGTTCGCTCTGTAATATGTTACRGAACATTATCAGACGACAGAAACGGTCCTTTTCAGGACCACAAACCAACCACAGATTACCATTTAAGTAACCGCTATAACAACACCGTTATACACACAACGACGTTTATACTCGAACAGATGAACACGTTCGCTGAGTGAAAACAGCACCGTTGAGATCAGGTGACCATAACAATGAGGTTATGTCGACTCGTCATTCCATAGAGCCTGAATCCGATAAAAGCTACGGAAATCTGATTAACGTGTATAAAATAATACCGGTACAACAACCGAGGAGTTTCATTCCAATTCCAAACCTCAACTCTTCAACAACTGAACAATCAATTACGAATAACTGGAATCATTTGGAAACTCAAGTGAACGACGATCATCAGCCACGACGTTTAACGCACAAGCCGCTATCCGCCGACTGCCGATCACCCAGTGAACCCGTTGCCGGWCACCAATACTACGACCCACTCAGCGACTCACGCCGTACCAACGAAACACTACTGTTGTCTACCGGAGACCGCGCAGAAACACCGAACGGCCGGCCCTGTCAACAATACTATCGCCGAGCATCAACAGTGAGCGTACGGATTGCCTACCGGCCGAGCACCCGGCGTTACGCTTWTTCTCACCGCTCAGGGTTAATCGGTTGTYGAATACTCCGGAACACACGATAAGAGCCGAGTTATCCCGAAGGACAGAGCGGACACCATCAACCAGGCGGGAACGACGATCGACCAGGACAACAGTCCGAARGCCCGAAATCATCAGATAGATTCCGCGTGGCAACCATCGTCGCGACCGACTCAGTCGAGCAACACATAAAACGGCTCTTTTCAGAGCCACCACCACCTTATAAAAGACACTTAATTAAGTTGATCTTTTCCGCTTATATAAGCTTGTACCGGTGACGGGAGGTTCCCCACCGTCTTGTCAAAACTTAATATACCCGACATTGTAAATAGAGTCCGGCCTGTGCYCGACTAGCCACAAGCACCACCGACTGTGCCATCTCACTTATCAAGTYTGGGTGGTGCAGATCGACGCTTTACTTGCCCCAACACTGTATAAATTATTATTCGATATAGCAATAGATTAATGTGATTACCAATACTCGCAATTTGTTGTTTATTTCACGACGCGGGACGTTGGAATTCAACGCTCCGTATCAAATAAAATTTTTGTGTGCAAAAGGATCTTTAGCTGCTGAAATTCATCTTGAGTTATGCCTAGTGTCAAGGAAAGGTCAGACAATGGTGTCATGATTTCAAAAATGGACTAACAAAATGTCCATGACAAAGAACGAAGTGGTATGGCCAGTATGCAAACTGATGAAATAGTTTCTCTGGTGGACCAAAAACTGCGATCTGTTTGTMGGTTGACGATTAATGCCCMCTGGCTGATGAATTTCCTAACCTCGGATACCACAAAATGTGTGCAAGGTGGGTACCAAAAATGCTCACCGACCAGCACAAAGAGCAAAGAATGTTCAGTGGACACTGGACGAGAGTCTTTGAACCACTACCGACAAGATAGAAACGATTTGTTTTCCCACATTGTTACCATTGATGAGATGTGGATATCCTACATCAATCCAGAAACAAAACAGCAATCAACGCAATGGCACGCGCCAYTCAACTTCACCAAAACCAAAAAAATTTAAGCAAACTCCGTACACTAGTCGAAAAATGACGGATACCGTTTTTTGAGACGAAAAAGGTGTTCTTTTGATTGATTTTATGGAACGTGGGCCAATACTTACAGCTGACGTGTATCGTGAAACACTGAAAGTTCAATAAACTAAGATTYGCGATCCAAAATCGATGACGTSGTAAACTGCCATCCGATATAATTCTCCTTCACGRCAAWGCGCRTTCTCACATTGCAGCCAAGACCCAAGAAAAAATTCAAGATTTTCGTTGGGAACTTTTTAACTACCCACCGTACAGTACCGACCTTGCATCTAGTGACTACTTTCTTTTTTTACATTTCAATAAATGGATTTTTAACCTATCTAAAAATAACCAAACTGTATAACTTTATATAATTTTATATTTTTTCTTTGATTTTTTTTTTCCTTTTCTACATTGCACATATCAAAAATAATTATATTGTAATATTTTAAAATGTATTGTAAATTGTACCGCAATGTAGAAGTAATATTTAAATATGTAAGCTAATAACCTAAGTTGTTGAGGCTTTAAAGTAATTAAAAAAAAAAAAAAAAATAGCTTGGTGGACAACGCTTTGAAAATTACTTAAAAATGCCGTTGAAAACCGGTTCAACACGCAGGTGGAGAGCTTATATGCAGATGGATTAAGGAAGCTGATAATGTGGTTCGAAAAATGCTTAGAAGTAAACGGTGATTATGTGGAAATGTGAAATTTATTAGTAGGAAACTTAATGTGCTAATAAAATCTATTTCGGATCTCAATATAAGCCATCAAATTGGAACAAGCCTAGGCCCAAATCYTGACAATGAAACCAACACCATTGAATTCTTCAAAACAACCAAGTTACTCAAACTACTTTAGCCAACCTTTCAATGTATAAAATACCAAACAAATTAATTCTAACTATTTCTCTTGTACTTTTTTTTTATTTTTTCTCTTATTTCTTTGCTCTGTTCCTTATTATAAGTATAATTAATTTATGTTTATAGTGATATGCTAATGACCTAGTAGTCGAAGCAGAAATTGTATAAATTTCAAGACCAATAAAAAAAAAAAAACCTATTGTATGAAATAGGTTTTTTTTTTTAAATTTATTTATATATAAATTTTATGATAAAACGACCCTATTACTTTTCGAATATGTCATTTTACAAATCATGAATAGGGTAAGGTACAAATAAAATATACACCTCTAGGTGTACCTACATTGATACAATACTATAATGTCTAAACTCTAAATTAATGTATTGATTTATATACGGGTGAGGTGGCGTACCTAGGATTTATAAATGAAATGTTATTATAAAAAAATATGTTTTGTATTGCTTASACTAGAGATCACTTTTATATCGTACACTTATCATTTAATGACTATAATAGATTATTTTATATCGTTATAAAGTAGGTACATAATAATATAATATAATGTATAATATTATAYTGTGTTCAAGTATAGCAATCCAAATTCTAAGGTCTTCTGGGAGATTTTTTTTCATAAGATCTGTGGTTATTTATTTTTCTATAACGTCGWCATATTTGTAAAAAATACGACTGATGTGAGGGTGATATGGCCTCTTCTTCCCCTTCTAGGTACGCCATGCACGTGTAAGCGTATGATGTGTTAAACAAACTTTCGATTCGTAATGTTATTTAAAGCACAGCATGGTAAAATAATCGCTTACAGGGACATTTTATTAATAATTGATATTATACAAGCGAACGTGTTAATTTATTTTTAGGATACACAAGTAAACATTATGATATTGCARGTACTATAACCACGATTTYATTGCAAGTAYCGTGGTATTCGAATGGCGATTAATATTATAACATGGTGATGAAAAACAAAATACGTGTTTCCGTCCAGCTAAAAAAATAACCGCGTACCATAAAGCAAGAAAATTACGGTGGTTGCTATATTGCAGCGTAAACCAAAAATATTTTATTATTATATTATTATTATCATCATGATATGGATTTGTTGTTATTAAAATCCTATAACCGTAAGCGATGCASGAGATCATCATCACTGACAAAATAATTATACCTAATAATAATAATAATAATATGTTTAAATGTGCTTGGTCGAACTTTTTTTGACGTGGTTAAAATAATAATAAAAAAAAAAACCATTACACTCGGTTATGTTTATGTTAATGATGTTTATTCATTATTCTGGATAATATTATTACACAGGGATTTGGACGTATGCGCAAAAAACCAACTAAAAACACACACTGAATATGCATACATTTTTTAAACCATTAAACAATGAAATGACGCTGAATATACTATACAGTACACATATARTATATATGTGTTATTATGTGCWTACACCGCGCTCTTCAATATACATATAATAYATTTTATATATAATATGTATATGATGATGAAAAAGTTGAAATTCCAAAAATTGCTGTTATGCGCTAAATTGCATTATAATAATAATATTATATTCATTTAATATAGGAACGCCCTTTATTCGCAGTGCACATGGATATATTGTTATTATTATTATTATGTCATACACAACGTGCACAAAAGAACATTTTTCACTATATATATATGTATGTATGTATGTATAGAGGTACCTGTGTATGTTATAACGAATTCGGGGGAAAAATTGTGACGCTCGCAGACATTGTTCGAAAAATAGTTGAGGGTGACGCGAACCTCCAATGTATATTATTTATTATTATATATTGCCCCGCGAGAATTTAATATAGTTTTGAATAATATTATTATTATATTATTATCATTAAACTTACGATGTGTATTATGATAATGATGCTGTATATTATATAATAATACGCGATCGTGCGATCAAAATAAAGCATACACAAACTGTGGTCGCCCCTGCTGCCACTAGCTCGCGTCTATATATATATATAAATACCACTGTCTGCACGCCATACAACAAATTTATCAGCTTAGCGAAGTATGCAAATTCAAAACTTAACGCCCCCACCCCAAGTCTCATTTTGCCCATCGCACCCACGCGACCGTTCCACATCGGAACAATATAATATATAGGGAGGAGGGCTGGGCACTTTTGAATGCGTTGTCTCTCGCCAGAGCAAAAACCCATAAATTTAGCTGGTAAAAAAATGTATATACATAAATAAAAAAACGGTNTAAAAAAATTTAGCGGAATTATCACCATTTTTTACCAAATTTTTTTTTTTTTTTTTTTTTGGGGGGTTTTTTCTTTTATTTTCGGGTATTTCCAAAACACACTTTTTACCGAAACGCCCTTTCACCGCTCCGTTGTTGTACCCTTTGCCACTGTCGTCACACGGTCTCGCTCGGTTGTCACACGGGGGTAGGGGGGTATAGTAATAAACGCGGAATTTTTTTTTACATTCGGCGCGCCTGGGACGCCGCCGGCGGTCTCGTGCTCTTTATGTTATACATGCCGTGTCGGCCCTTCTTCTTTCATCTACTATGCTGCATAAGCATTATCGCTCGGATTAAGGTATAACAGTCCCTGTATCATTATAATATCACATATATTATGTACCAAGGTATAGGTATGATACATGGACGTGTACATATGTACGTCGTGTGGCGATGACGTGAACTGTTAAAAAAAAAAAAAATATATAATCTACTTTTTTACCTTCGTTTTTTCACACACCTAAAACACATTATTATACCGCTGACAAAAGTGTTTTCGCGCGCGCACACAATGGCCGTGAGCAGTATAAAAAAGAAAAAAAAATTATAATAATAAAACCCGTATATAATAAACGTATGTACCTATGTATAATAATTCACACCCCTTATTGGCAACGGATTATATCGAGTTTAGAGAGAATATAATAATGTATATATCGGCGAAATGGGATTACAAGTATTGTTATTATAACAGCAAGTATTTTAAACTATTATAATATTTTTAAACCAACCAACCTACCTCTATTGTATATTATACTATTATTAGGTAAAGGAGGTAGTCGTTTAAAATATTTACAAGCGGAGGGAAACAAACGCTACAGGATTGTTGTAACATTCTCACGAACAGAATATTGTTTKGTTTTTTTTSTTTTTTTGCATTCATTTTTAACGACACATAAATAATATGCTATACTTCATATTTTATTCAGTAATAATTATAATAATACTAGCTTAACCTCCACGCGTGCGTAAGTTCTAACACCACGTTGCTATTGGACGACAGAGATAAAACAGAAAAAAAAMGTATTCAAATTCTTGCTCAAAACTTCTCATTTCAAACCTAAAATATTTTGCGTTACTATTTAAGTGAAACACACCATATWTGTAGTTGCATACACGAATTCAATTATTAACTTSATCTGGTATGTCATTATATAGTATAGTTGTGCTCATGTTTGTTTGTATATAAAAGCATTTATTTTTGTATAAAAACGTCTAAATCGTTTCGACTTCCGGTTTTTCATAATCGTTTTGCAGGGTGAATACAGAATAGGGGATAAATAAGTGGGTAAAATTACGAATGGCTCTTTGAATAATATTCTCAATATGTCTCTTTACATACGTGTGGTGTGGTTTGACTTCGTGCTTGATATCAAATTTTCTCAGTTAATACTTTGGTATATAAAATGGACGACGTGATGATAGACCGACGGCAATATAACTGTATATATAGTCTGCATAGGCAAGTGAAATGATAAAAWAATAATAGTTCACGTAAATTAACTATTTATTATTAATAGTAAGTATAGACAGCCTAAACCTAATTACACAGTATATAAGTTACTAATTTATATTTTGTGCACATAGTTTTTAAAAATATTTACGAATAAATACACATATAATAAACAAACGCCACACAGTATTGCTGCAATGTTCTCACGAACGAAATTTTTTGGGTTCAAAGTATTTCACATTTTTTACGTCACATAATATACATATTTTATACCATAATTACAATATACCTACGTCTGACCTTCATGCGTATAAGCATTGCTATTAACGCTATTTCACTATTGGATGACGGACAAAACG